AAAAATTGGAATTGAAATAAAAGCCTTGTTCCCTATTGTTTTATCCATGAGATTGGGAAACCATTTATATATGTATTTGTGTATATAAATATATATAACACAATCCGGTCAATGAAATTGTTTATAGAATTAATTCTTGGATATTTTGATTAGGTTCCTTATCGTTCTGTCAGTTTAGCACTAAGATCAAGTCTTCGATTTTATGCGAGTGAGGTAAGTAAATTATGGTAACGTCCTCCGATTTTAAAAGTATATTTTAACTTGTTTTTGAAGTGGTGGCGGGACTAAACCCGTTTTATGCAAAAGTAAGTATGACTGATTTGAAGTGAAATTTTTATGCTTTTCATTAAATTGAGCATGATTGATTTAAAATAAGATTATTATTCTTTTTATTGATTTGAGCATGCCTGCTTGGAGTTTATTTGACTGTCTTGATGATTTGAAAGTGATTGTGAATTGTGATTTTTTCTGTTAACTTTTGCCTGTTTTGTCTTTGATATGGTCATGTTATTCGTGTGTCTGCTAATGGGAGGTTTATAAACGCTAGCACATATCGACATATTACTGATAGAACCGGTTCGTTTCTGTTATCCTGCTAGTGGGATTATACACTAGTAAATCGTGTGCCTGTCAGTGAGGGGTTTATAACACTAGCCATGACCTGTAGAGGAGACGTCCATTTCGTTCCCGTACTGTATCCGTTTTTCGTGATTACACTTGTTGGCATGCTATAAGTTTAATTAAGGGCTATTCATATTTTACTTACTGAGTTTATCTCATAGTTTTTCCTTGTCCACTATTTCAGGAAGCGAAACCAAGAACGGGGAAACCACGGGAAGTGACGAGTTAGAAGGCTAGCTATTTCGAGATTGATATAGATTTTAGAAATAAATCATGATCTTGTAAATTAGACTTTGTTGGAGATTTATGATATTAGAGCAAATTATAAAATTTTATCTTCAGATTTTGGTGGTATCAGATTGCGGTATGATAAGTTTCGAGTCTTGTGCATTTGTGGAATCCTCTCACGAGTGCACGGCGTTTGTCGTGCCTCGGATTTGGTTTCTGGGGCGTGGCAGCCCTCTTACCTCAGATTTGGGTTCTGGGGCGTGACAGCCCAAAAGAGGGCTACCACCAAGCTCCCTTAATTTTGAATTTGGATGGGTATTTGTGGGATTTTAAAAACCCTGGTTGGAATAGAAGTAGGACTTCAAGTAGAATAGGAAAGTTGAAATTTGGATGCTAAACGCATGGTGTTAACACCTCGAATTACGTGTCGATACAAAATAGGAAACAAAAAGTTTGATTCTAGACTATTAATGCATGGTGTCGAGACCCTGATTATGTGTCGACACTACACTCGTGTCCAGTTTCTGGTTCATTTTGCAATTTTTTCAATGGTAAAATGGCAAATCTATCCTCCATCTTTTGTACAATGAGTACTTAGATCCCAAAACTCAAGATTCATTCATTAAGGTCCCAAAGAGGTGCCTTTCTTCTTGCAATTTAGTCCCTCAACGTTCAAAAGATGTTCAATTAATCCTAAAAACTCTTCTTTTATGCATTCAAGTCTTTTTTTACACAAAGAATGTAAATCATGTAAAATCTCACAAAACTTAGTAAAATCTCATAAAACTCATCCAAATATCAATAATGTCAAGGCAACAATTCCACATTAATATGTATACAAATTCAACTCATCAATGGTTGTATAAATGTAATCGATTCTTTTAAGGCTCATAACATTTCTGATGAGCATAAGGTGGAAATTGCATCAATGTATTTGTGTGGAGATGCAATTGTGTGGCATGAGTGTTATATGCAAGATAAGGCAACTTTTCTAGACTGGAGGGACTACATCTCTGACATGAGTTTGAGGTTTGGGGAAGGTGAGTTGCAGGATCCCATTGTCTTGTGGAAGAACCTTAACCAGATTGGTAGTGTTAGTGATTACCAAAAGGAATTTGAAAGGATTAGAGCAAGAGTTAAGTGTTCTAAGAGACAATTTGTGGCTATGTTTGTGGGTGGCTTAAAGGAGGAGATCCAACATGCAGTAACTTATTATAACCCAAAATCTGTGTGGAGGCTTATGCTATGGCCAAACAACAGGAATTGTTTGTGAACTCCATATTGAAAAAGGTTCGGGCTCCATTGCCATCCCTTAAAAGCTTACCCCCTTTATTGCCCTTGCCTCCAGATTCACAAAGGTTACCACTTCCAAATTCCTTTGAATTTCCACCAATCAACCCTAGTAACAACCCTCTAATATCTACTGTAGCTAAGAATAGACCAAGGAATGTCAGGAGCTTGTCTGAGGTTTAATTAGAGGAAAAGAAGCAGAAAGGGTTGTGCTTTTGGTGTGATGAGAGACATGGTCCAGGGCATAGATGTAGCAAGAAGAAACTCTATAACCTAGAGATAATTTCTATAGATGAAGATGCTGGAAGTGTAGAAACTAATGATGAGAATTTTGATCTTAATCAAATGCTTATCACAGAGCCACATATCTCAACCCATGCATTGACTGGTGAGGTGGGTTATAATACTATCAAAATGATAGGTCAAGTGGGCAAAAGGCAGATTTTGATATTGATTGATTCAGGAAGTACCCATAACTTCCTTAATGCTAAGCTAGCCAAAGAGCTAAGGTGTGAGATAAAGGGAGCAAAGTCTTATCAAGTCATTTTGGCTGATGGTAGCAAGATAACAGGGGTTGAGAAGTGTGACAAGTTTAAAAGGGAAGTCCAAGGGCATGTGTTTACTATTGAAGTGATGTTGTTGCCATTGAGGGAATATGACCTTATCCTAGGAATACAGTGGCTAGAACCTCTTGGCCAGGTCCTATGGGACTTTAAACTTAGAACTTTGCACTTCAAGTATAAGAGCCATTTAGTTCACATAGAGGTTGCCCCTAAACCAACTATTAAATGGGTTGAAAATGATAAGTTGTTGTCCTTGTTGCTAAAGAAAGAGCAAGATGATAAAAGTGATTATTTCCTGGTACAAGTAATATCAGAGGTTGACTCTAGATGTAGCCTTAATGCCACTGAGGTTGTTGAAAAGCCTGTCAACTTGAGGAAATTGTTGGAGGAATTTTCAGAGGTGTTTGACGAAGCTAAATCATTACCTGATTCCAGAAGTTTAGATCATCAGATCCATTTGAAGACAGGTACAGAACCCATTAGTATCAGACCCTACAAGTACCCTTCCATCCAAAAGGATGCTATGGAACAGATAGTGAGTGAAATGTTACAATCTGGTGTGATCAGAAATAGTACCAGTTCTTTTTCTTCGCCAGTGGTAATGGTTAAAAAGAGGGGTGGTACCTGGAGAATGTGTATCGATTATAAGGAACTAAATAAAGCTATTGTGAAGAACAAGTTTCCTATGCCTGTGATTGAAGAATTGTTGGATGAGTTACATGGGGCCAAATATTTCTCCAAAATTGATTTGAGGTCTGGTTATCACCAAATCGAGATGAAAGAAGCGAATATTCATAAAACCGCTTTTAGGACACACCAAGGGCGTTATGAATTTTTGGTGATACCTTTTGGCCTTACTAATGCTCATTCCACCTTTCAAGCAACAATGAATTTTGCTTTTCAGCAGTACTTAAGGAAATTTGTTCTGGTGTTTTTTGATGATATATTGGTTTATAGCCAAACTTGGGATCAACATTTGCATTGCAGCACTTGCAGATTGTATTGGAAGTTCTACGACAACATACATTTTTCGCTAAGTTGAGTAATTGTGCCTTTGGCGTGCAGCGAATTGAGTATTTGGGCCATATTATATCTTCCCAAGGGGTAGCCACAAATCCAAATAAGATTGTAGCTATGAAGGAGTGGCCTATGCCTAAAAATGTAAAAAAACTGAGAGGGTTTCTTGGGTTGACAGGGTATTACAGAAGATTTGTCAGAAATTATGGGTTGATTTCTAGACCTCTCACCAATTTACTCAAAAAGAATAGCTTCACTTGGGGTCAAGCAGCACAAGAAGCCTTTGAAGAGTTGAAAAAGGCTATGACATCTACTCCAGTTTTGGCTCTACCTAATTTCCAAGAGGAGTTTGTGATTGAAATTGATGCATCCAGTAATGGTGTAGGAGCAGTACTCATGTAGAATAATCATCGAATTGCTTTTTTAAGTAAGGCCTTAGCTCCAAAACATCAAGGTCTGTCTACTTATGAGAAGGAGCTGTTGGCTTTAGTATTGGCAGTGACTAAATGGAGACCTTACTTAGTCGAGAGGCACTTTGTTATCAAGATGGACCTCCATAGTCTTAAATACTTGCTGGAGCAAAGGATTGTTACACTGGCACAACAAAAATGGCTATCTAAACTTTTGGGGTATGATTATGAAATCTGATACAAGAAAAGGGTAAAGAATCATGCAGCTGATGCATTATCACGTGTGTTTAGTGCGAGTATATCTTTAATGGCGTTATCTTCTATCTCTATTACTTTGTTAGCTGAGATCCAGAATTCGTAGTGTAAGGATCCAAGGCTACAACAGCTCATAACCATGCTGCAAGCCAAGAGTAATAATGATGGAAAATATTCCTTTGTGAATCACCAGTTAAGAAGAAAAGGAAAGTTGATGGTGGGTAATGATATACAGCTAAGGACCAAGTTAATACAAATGATACATGCCGAGGCTATAAAAGGGCATTCAAGAGTATTAGCCACTACACAGAGGCTGTCTTCATTAGTTTACTAGAAAGGCATGAAGAAGGATATTAGAAATTTTATTCGAGGTTGCCACACTTGTCAATTACACAAGTATGAACCCACTCACCCAATTGGTCTTTTACAACCATTGCCTTTACCTCATCAAGTTTGGGAAGAAGTCTCTATGGATTTTATTGAGGGTTTGCCAAGATCCCAAGGCTATACTACCATCATGGTTGTGGTAGATCGGTTGAGTAAATATGCCCATTTCATACCAGTAATGCACCCTTATACTGTCTCGAAGATTGCTCAACTTTATTTGTCCCACATTTATAAGCTACATGGCATGCTTAAGGTGATTGTGAGTGATAGGGATCCAGTATTCACCAGTTTGTTCTGGAAAAAGCTATTCAAGTTATGCAAGGTTTCATTACATATGTCTTCTACATACCACCCCTAATCTGATGGGCAAACAAAGGTAGTCAATCGTTGTTTGGAGACATATTTACGGTGTATGCGTGGTGAATCTCCAAAAGAATGGTCATCGTGGCTTCTTTTGGCGGAATATTGGTTTAATACCAATTTCCATTCTGCTATCCAAACCACACCTTATGAGGTTTTGTATGGTCAGTCTGCTCCTATGCACATTCCATACCTTCTTAGGGATTCCAGTTTGAAGTAGTTGACAGAACCCTACTGGCAAGGGAGGGAGCTTTACAACTACTCAAATTTCATTTGAAAAGGGCACAGAATAGAATGAAGCAACTTTCAAACAAAAATAGAACTAATAGGGAATTTGTGGTAGGGGATCACGTTTATCTCAAACTTCAACCATTTCAACAATCGAGTTTGTTGCAAACTCGGACTCATAAGTTACTTCAAAAGGTTGGTCCTGTGGCTTACAAGTTTCAATTGCCAGAAAATGCCAAGATACATAATGTCTTTCATGTTTCTTTGTTGAAGAAGAAGGTGGGAAACGCACCAATAACTTCCCAATTCCCTGATCCATTGGTTCATAATGGGCAATATCTCCTTCCTAACAAAATTCGAGAGAGAAGGGTGCAAAATTGTCATGGGAAACCTGTTACTATGTGGTTAATTTAGTGGAAGGGGTGTACTGCTGAGGAGGCTTCTTGGGAAACTAGTGCTGACATCCTCTCTAGGTTTCCAGATTTTCATCTTAATCCTTGAGGACAAAGATTTTAGAGAGGGAGGCATTTGTTACAGTCCATCTATCTGTGCTAGGTTGGAAATATGGGTCCGTTTGTAAAAGAGTTTGTTGAGGCCTATAATTGTAATTGCCCTTATATAAGGGACGGCTTTGTAATTGAAAGTTTATTGACTAATGAATACAAACAGACTTTCCTCTTCCTTCTATCTCCTTCTTGATTCTCCCTTCTATTCTCTATCTTCTTCTTCTTCTTCTTGAATCCGTTTCTCTTGATTCTCCTTCTAATTCTTCTTTCTAATTTCTGAATCTATCAAGCTATTTGGATTGATTTACTTATGCACTTTCCAGTTTCCTTTTGTGTTTTGATCTATTATTTTTAAAATGCAAGAACTTACGATAACTAATTGTAAAAAGAATGATTCTTTTATGGAGTAGCATTGCTGATAATTGTTGATTCTTTTATGGACCATTGTTGTTAAGTGTAGCTAATTGGTTTCTATTGAGGATATTTGAACTTTGAAACTAAATTACCTGGGCTTGATCAAGTGCTTGTATTTAAATACATAGTAAGGACTTTGGTTGCTTTTCTTATACCTCAAATGAGGTATGAGTAATTGGAACTTAGAGGCTTAAGATTTTTTGTCCTGTTTAGTGCTTACATTTAATTTGTTTTGAATAGAAGTGCTAACACCTGAGACAATTATTAGGTTATCTCTATTGATTGAGGAATCCATTTTTATTTTCTAATTGTCTTTGAATGGTTAAGGGAATGTAAGAAGAATCTTTTGTTTTTGTTTTTTTGGTTAATAAGAAGATTTATTAGAGGGCTATAATGATTTGTGAATGCTAGTTAGTAAGTGGTAACATTATTCGTTACATGCTTTCTTTGTTGCAGAATGATACCCCACAAAACTAAGCGCGGTGTTGTTACCCTTGCTCGTTTCAAGGTTTATGAGGGTATCCCTTCACCATACGACAAGATCAAGAGGATGGTCATCCCTGATGCTCTTAAGTAAGTCTCTCCATTGCTCATTTATTCACTTAGATGATGTTCAATATTTTGTTGATTGTTCCCTTCTATAACACTCCAAAAAAATATGAAAAAGGGGCGTTGAGGCTTCAAAAGGGTCGCAAGTACTGCTATTTGGGACACCTGTCAAGTGAGGTTAGATGGAAACACTATAACACTATAAGGGTGAGTTTTAGCTACTCAGCTTGTTATGTCATGTTGCCTTCTTCTTTGATCATTTTGGCGTTATGTGGTTATAAAATGGTTGTTAGTAATTAGTTAACAATATTGTAAATGCACATTTACATTTTCTAGTATAATCTGTATCTTAGAGTTTCATATAAGTCTTGCTGTAAGTTCAGTAATTGCTAGCATTGTATGCTTCATTGTTGTTTAACAATAGAAGTAGATGTAGCTTTAATTCCTTCACATGCATTTAAGTTTTTTTTTTTTTATTTCATCTGCCCTTGAATATGATAAATTATATGTTTGCATCTTGACATTAATTTGGAAGCACAGTATATTTGCAAATAATGGTCGTAACAATGACATTGTAGGGTTCATTATTGTGTATTGGAAAATGTAATAAAACTTCATGTCCACTGTTTCATGATAATTGAAAATAGTGAACATTGTTATTTCTTACTATCTTGTGGACTGTAGGAACTTAAAAAGAAGAGAAAAGAGATTGCAGGTTGCTTATGAAAGGAGAAGGTAGCTAAACAAATTAAGAGTGAAGACTAGGAAGGTTATAAAGGAGAAACTTGGCTCCCAACTAGACATCCTTGCTTCTATTAAGTACTAAAGTTCTTGTTGTTAGCTAGTTTCTTTGCAATTTTGTTTTAAGAATTATCTATTTTGACCGTGATTCAGTTTTCTCTTTCTTTAAAAGATGTGGAGATCAAAATTTTCATAAATCTAGAGAATTTATCTTGTTTTCCTATTTTTTTCCTATAGGAAGATTTTGATGTTATCTCGACTATACCTTTTGTTGATTGATGTGTTAACACTTATGCTTAATGACCATCAAGCATATTAGTCTTTATGTATCCTAAATAAACTGTTTGGACTCTGCCGTGGATCATATGGCTTAACACAATAATTACTCTCACTCCACTATACTCATAATTGTTTGGCCATGTTATTACTTTTTCTTCCTTGCAAAGTTTTAGCATTTTCTATATTTATCAACAAAACTTGCACATTGCCATGGTAAAGTGTTTCAATTGTGAATGGAGAAAACTAGAAAAGGCAACCCAAATAAATTAAGGTATGCTACATGATAACCAATCAAATAATAATGTTTAAAGAAGTTAATTTTTACTGGCTCTCTATCACATTTCATTGTGGCCTACCAAACCTAAAACTAACCTACTTTTAGAGGAATTGAGGATGCATGAAATACGTGAGAGTTCCCAGTCCTAAGTATTGTGTTTTGAACATTTTATTTTAGAAGATAGCAATAGTTTTGGCAAAATCTAGATTGTTGGCAAATTTAATATAACTTAACATAAGTGTTCATAAAGTATTCTGTTTGTGGTAGTTGCATCATTTTTAGCTGATCTTGAATATTGCAACAAAGTTTGCAACTTGAAGTATGGTTTCTGGGAAATAATAAGAGAAGAATACAACAAAATTATTATTGCAAGATGAGACAACAACAGTAAAGGATTCAACAAAGCATGATAGTTGAGGATAGATAGACCTATGTTAACAAAAACATATGTTCATGGGAAACCTAAAAGACAACTAGTTGTTCACCTCTTAGCTTTTAATTGTCTTTGTAATTTATCCATCTTCAGTGCTACTGTTAAGGAGATCCAGTCTCTTACTTCGTTCAAGAATAGAAAATATGCATGCTTCCATGACCTTTTCGCTAGTGATATACTGCAGAATCCCAAGAATCCTACAAGAATCCAAATCCCATGCCAAAGTAGAACCATGAAGTTTCAAGCAATTCGTCTTCCACATTACCACCAGAATTTGGTTGGTTCGGTGCTTTATCCCTTAGGCAGTACTCCAATGGGGATGCACACAGTTGTGGGTTCCCAACATACAAAGCAGCTTTGAAACTCTGTAATTGAGTGCTTAATGGGATTTTTCCAGACAAGTTATTCAACAAGTCTAGCATCAGCACGCTAAGGAAAGATAGATTTGCCATGCTCATAAGGATTTTCCCAAAAAGTGGATTAGTTGAAATTTTAAAAGATTCAAACACAACTAATTTTAAACCAATATATCAACTATCAGCTTTTCTTAATAGTCAAACCAAACAAAGCTTATAAATAACATAATTTGTTGCATCTTGCCCTATCTATGGTGGAATCCATCTTTAAAGACAATTTGTTTAACCCAAGATCCAAGAGTGTTAGCTCAATGTGATTTCTCATCGATGGTGAGAATTCCCCACAAAAACTGTTGTTCTTAATAGGTAAACAAGTTGTTCTACGGAGCCCATGGAGCTTGGAATTATCCCAAAGAAGTAATTATTCTTCAAATTACCTAAGTTTAGAAGGAAAGCCAAAAAATATTGTCATTGCATTGATGCTACTCCACCAAGCATCAACAAACAGCTAATGTCAATCAACTACAATCAAATCTCAATTTTTTTCATAATTTATAGTTGAAAATTTTGAACTTACACAAAGATCATTGATTCATTGTATCCCTAGTAAGGTGCCGATATTTTTTTTTTATTACTCTTTCAATTTTTCAAGCCTTATAAGATTAATTTTTTTGGTACATTAAATGAGAGGTTATATACAATAAGAGATAATTCTTCTCTCACCCCATCTCCTCTCACCCACCTTAAGATTCAAACTTGAGATCTTCAATTTTGAATCTTAAGTTTTTAACCACTTGAATACTAAGGTTTCTTAAAATTAATGTTTCTTAATCTATTGTTGTAAGTACAAATATAAAAGAGTAGTTAACTAATAGGTAACATTATATAGGGGGTGTTTAGTTGGGGAAACTTTTCTCCTAAACTTTTCTAAACTTGCTTCCTCGCAAAATTATTTATGTATTTTCATATATTAATACTACAACAAAAGAAGGGTAAAAGTGACATTTTGAGTATTTTTTTAACACAATTCCCAACCTGTAAAGTTTTTTTTCTCACCTATTTTGAAAGAAAAAAGTTTCTCTACAATTTTCCCTATATTGGGTCCACTTAACAACTCTCTATATTGGGTTCACTTAATAACTTTCCTTATTAACGTTTTCTATATTAATTTCTTACTAAACACAATAAAATTAATAATCTAACAAAATTCTAGCAAAATTTCAATATAAAACTAAACCACTTTTCAAACAATATTTTCCTAACCACTTTCCCAATAAGGCTTTCAACTTTAAGATGGAATTTAACAACAATGGTCTAAAGAGAAGGAAAGAAGCAAAAATGAAAGGTTCTGTTGTTATAATTAGTATAAGTTCTTGGTATACTTTAAATTTAGTTCCTGCAAATTTGTTCTTGGTATATGCATTATGCAAGTTTGTTCCTGATAGATGCTCCCAAAATACTAGCCATGTCCAAATGCTGCATAGTGCACTTTCACATTGCCACATTGAGGACTACACAATCTCAAAAAAGTGTTTATATTTATAATAAAAATTGAAGAAGTGTCTAATACTAACTCAAAACTGTTGGTATTTATAATAAAATAAGATGTTATTTTTACAAACTCTAAACTATTGGTATTATACCAGTTTTCCTTGTACTTGTAGCCATTATTTATACCAGTATTAGAAATAAAAGATGGACAGAATGGGAAAAGAGCACTGTACCAATTAACTGATCTGTACAGTTTAACTAATAAATTAGTGATTTTCGACAAAGAAATAGCCAACAGGAGCTATTGGATACTGATGTTCACAAATGCTTAAAGTTCCACCAATGTTGGACTTAGCCAGATCTAGATTGTTGGTAAATTTAATATAACTCAGCATAAGGTTTCCTAGAGAATTTTTTTAGATAATTGCATCATTTTCAATTGATTTTGAATATTGCTTCAGAAGATTGCAAATTAAGAGTGCTTATTGAGAAATAGCAAGAGAACAACACAACATATTGTTTATTGTAGAATGGTATAGGGGTAATGGATGCAACAAGGCATGATAGTGAAACTCTTTCCTAAGGATAGAACCATACTAAGAAACCATATTTTCAAGAGAAACGTGAAGACTACAAAGTTTTATAGTTTAGCTTCTAAACCTTATTTGCAATTTATCCATCTTCAGTGCTACTTTCAAGCTGATCCAATCTCCTACTTTATTTAAGAATTGAAAATATGCATGCCTTCATGACCTTTTTGCTAATAATGTACCAAGGAATCCCCAGAATCCTACAATGAATCCAACCCCCATGCCAAAGTAAAACTAGAAAGTTTTAGACCATTCTTCTTCCTCATCGCCACTAGAGTTTGGTTGGTTCACTATTTTATCCTCAAGGCAGTCCTCCAATGAGAGTCCACATAGCTTTGGGTTTCCAACGTATGAAGCAACATCAAAGCTCTATACTTGAGTGCTGAATGGGATTTCTCCAAACAAATTATTGTTCGACAAGTCCAACACACTGATGAAAGATAAATCGACTAAGCTTTCAAGGATTGTCCCAAAAAGGTGATTTGGTTAACAGGTCAAGACTATCTAACATGACCTATTTTCCAATTTCCCCAGGAATGCTCCTAGTGAGCATGTTCCTCGACAGATTTAGAGCAATCAAGCCTCCAAGACTTGTTACTTCTCACAAGATTTCCCCAATTAATCTATTGCTTGGAAGATCAATGATCTTCAGTAGGTTAAGAGTCTTTCCAAATTCTTGCTCCACTCCTTTCCATACAATTGATGCATAATCAACTCCAACTTTCATGACAATACCATTTAGAAAGACGTTAAAGGGGTAACTTTGATGTAAATTTGAACTTCTTGTTTGAGCCATGACAGTTAAATTGTTAAGGCAAGATGGAATGGCTCCTGATAGATTATTTGTGGTGAGATCCAGCACTTGAAAAGACTCAACATAACAAAGACTTGGAGGTATGTTCCCATAGAACTCATTTGATTTTAAACTAAGAACACTGAGACCTATTAGGTTTTCCCTTTCCCATGGTGGAAACTTCCCAAACGATTTGTTCTCCCCAAGATCCAAAAGTGCTAGTCCAGTGCAGTTTCCCAGTGATGGCGCATAACTCCCTAGATAAACTATTATTCCTTATACATAATGATCGAAGTTGCACTAGGAAGCCCATGGAGCTTAGAATTATCCTAGATAAATGATTATTCTCCAAATTGAGAACATAAAAATAACTTAGGTCCATCCAACAATCAGGAAGGATTCTAAAAAACAAATTATTGGAGAGGTCAAGATAGATCAAAACACTATCATTAACTGCACATAAAAAGGACAGAGTTCTCTTGAACTTGTTTTTAGAGAGATTCAACACTATTGTCTTTAAAATGAGTGGTGGTATTGAGCCATGGACAGAAATTAGTAAATTTGGAACCTTCCCACTATTGCTATTGAAGGAGAGATTTAACAACCTTGGATTGGAAGGCAAGGACCAAAACCAACTAGGAACGACATCTGAAATGTTAGAATTGGAGATGTCAAGATGAGAAAACTTGGTTTGCCATCGAGGCCAAACCAAAAATCTAGGTCCTAACTTGTAGCATGCCAATTTTAAGCTATCTAGTTGAAATGGAAGAATCCAATTGGAGCTAAAATTCACAATGGGAGAGTTGAAGGATAAATCTAATTGTGGCAATTTGAAAAGCTTCAATAGGTGGGTTTCAGTGATGACACCCTCTAAACTGTTTGATGAAATGTCTAGGAGCTTAAGGCTTGACATCTAACCAATACTTTTAGGCAATGATCCTGTGAGTTTGTTTCTTGCCAATTTTAGAAGGTTAAATACCTTTTTTGGTCCCTCTACTATAGGAAAAAGCCCCTTTTTGATCCTTGTACCGAAAAAATCCCCTTTTTGATCCCTAAATTTTAAAATCCGGCCCCTTTTTAGTCCCTCCATTAAAATTTTGCTGACCTGTCACGTTAATTAACAAAAACATCTCACATGGCAATTTCAGAGTGTGATATGGCAATTTCAGAGTGTGACATAGCTATTCCACAGTGTTAAAATGCTTACGTGCGAAAAAAAAAAAGAACATGGAATTTGACCTGTGTGGAAAAGATTGACGAAATTATTTCATTTTTTTTTATTTAAACAATATTATAAATGGCATGAAAATCGTGGACAATTATAAATGATGTGGACAAAATTATAAATATATATAAGCACTTTATTTGAATATTTTGTGTCACTTATATAAATTAAAAATTTTATTTTATTAATTTATGAATTAAACATAATTAATTTTATTTTTTTCTTCATCTTCTTCCTCTTTTCTTTCTCCTCATCCTTACCCTCCTCTTCTTCTTCGGAATCATCTTCATCATCTTCATCATCTTGGGTTCCTCATGGAACCCAGTGCTAGGTTCATAAGGAACCTAGCACGAGGAACCTAGTGCTGGGTTCAAGGAACCCAGATTTGGGTTCCTCATGAAACCCAACATTGGGTTCGTGAGGAAACCAAAGCTCCTCGTGGAACCCATATGGGTTCCTCTCAAAACTCAGCATTGGGTTCCGTGGGAGAACCCAGCACTGGGTTCCGCGAGGGATGCAATGAACCCGATATGGGTTCCGCCAGGTCACGCGAGCCCAGTGCTGGGTTTTGATTTTTTCTTTTTCTTTTTTACTTTAAGTGTATCTATCCAAAATGAAAATAAATTTTCATATTCAGTTTTGAATTAGAGATGTTAAGTTCGGGTTCATTGCAAAACCATATCATGTTTGATGTTTGAGTTTGAAATTGCAGGTGATAAGTTTGGGTTCATCGCAAAACCCACATTGGGTTCATTGCATCCCCCGCGAAACCCAGTTCTGGGTTCTCTCGTGGAACCCAATGTTGGGTTTTGAGAGGAACCCAGATGGGTTCCACGAGGAGCTCTGGGTTCCTCGCGAACCCAGTGCTGGGTTTCATGAGGAACCCCGATCTGGGTTCCTTGAACCAAGCACTGGGTTCCTCTGGGTTCCTCGTGCTGGATTCCTT